TTTCACTATATATATATATATATATATATATATATTTTATCTCTCTGCCTACTTGGTTGAATAATAAAAAAATAAAGAGAGACGATTTTTTTTTGTTGAAAAAACATATTTGCCCATGATAAATTGTGAGGTAACGAAGGAATAACAAGATTATAAATATAATTATGGGTGAGTCAAACAAATTATGTCTTGCTTCCTTCCTTTTCTTCTTACCAAAGTAGACATTTTCATTAGTGGATTTCATACAAATATTCTCTCTATTTAATTTCTACTTTTCTTAACTAAATAACATACAGCTACTGTTTGTCTCTCACTTCTCTCTATTCAATTTTTATTGTACCAAATAAAATAGTAGTTCTTTTAGTTCCAATGGCTCAAATTCAATTTGTGTGGAAAGTTAAATTGAAGACAAAACATCTAAAGGCAGACGTTTTGTTTACAAGCTTTATGTCTATCTAATTAGAGAGTTTTGTCTGTAACGCTGCCTACATAGCAAAAACAATTTATTTTGATAATTTAGTTTTTTAAATAATTCATTTTTGATATTTTATTTTATTTTTATTTATTTTGGCTGAATCATTTAATATATATGAAGAAAAATATATTTTATATATAACTTAAATGTGAACATATATAAAGTACACATATATTTACAAATACTAAATAAATAATATAATATTATAAAATCAAACAAACAATAATTTTATGCCTTTTAATAATATATTTCTTAATTATTTTGTATTAAATGATTTTTTAATAAATTTGTATTATTTAGTTTTTTCTATTTTTTCTTTGAATACTTTATTAATTGAAATAATATACTATTACTGATGTGATTTTTTTTTATATTTTTTTAAATATAAATATAATTATATAATATTTTTTGCATTAATGTTGTAGTTTAATACTAATATATATAATACCAAAATTTTAAAAAGTTGTTTTAGTGACTACAATGAAACATTGTTATTTATGTGATCATGTTTACAAAGGAGTAAGGTACGGATAGGCTTGAAGAGTCATGTGAGTGGAGAGTCATGCTTTGGGATGGTAGTGTAGTTGGAAACTACTCTCTTAGCTTTTTGGTAGAGTTATTTGACTGGCAACACAGGGTAATCTATTATAATTTTTGGATTACTGTATATACATATCTACTTGTATAGTTTTTTAGATTTTTTTCAAAACTTTATTACATATATGTATATAGTTTATTTGTGTGTTTTCTAGGATCTATATTCATGTGAACATTAGGTAGTTGTTGTAATTTTTCCATTGCTAATAATCAATTCCATCAAATGTAGGGATCATGATGGGTTGTTACAAATTTAGGTTAGTAGAATTGTGAATCAAGATTGTTAGGTCATGCAAAGTTTCTTGGAGAAGCTCGAAACCATTTCCTTCTTTTTTTTCTCTCTTAGATTTCAAGATAAGGGAGCTAGACTTGATTGTTGTTGAATGGTTGATTTGTATTCATTAGTACATTGTTGAGCTGGCTAAATTCGAATAGAATGATTGAGGAATTTAGTTTTTGGATGCTTTGAAGCATGTTGAGATGATTATGATGCTTTTAGTTATTTGGTTATTACATGTTGAAATCTTGGATGAGAATGAGTTGTTTGAGGTGCATAAATGTATTGTATTGCATTGCATGCGGATTTTGAGTTTTAGGTACAAATTGAGCCAATTCAATAGTCTGATAAGTGTAGAACTCATTGTTGCACTAGGCATGCCTTTATGGTGTTGGGCGTGTCTCAAATCAAGGGCTTCTTTCTTGTCCATGCCAGACGCAAGATTGGTAGCATTGGATGTGAGGAGATAGAATAACTTCTAACTTAATTATGTTAGGTGTGGTTTGAATGGAGCTAAGCATGAGGTAAGAGAATTGCCTCTGTTTGAATTGGCGCCATACGTTAAAGAAGTGACACTTGACTTGAGAAGAGAGACTTGTCTCTACCTAAATTGGGGTTGGGTGTGGAATTTTCCATGCTGTGTGAGGGCCTAGCTACGGGTTCCCTACCTTATCCACCTTGGATGCGAGTTGAATGGCATCTGGCGTGGGTGAGACATAGAGCTCCTTGCCTCAATGGCGTTAGGCACAAGGTGGATAACACTAAAAGTGGTATGCTTTGTGAAATTTGGTTGTTTAATTGATGATATGGTGAACAGGGATAAGTTAGGTGAATCTATTGCATGTTGTGTGTTGATAGGTGATATTTATTCTATGTATATTGATATAGGATAATATATATATATATATATATATATATATATGTTTATATTGTTAATACATTATTGTGGTGTGATACTGAGAATTTTTTAGGCATGTTGTGTTGATACATTGTTGATGTGTGATGCTAAGAATGCTATAAACATTTAGACATATTGATTAACTATGTTTATATTAATTATCGATACATTGTTGAGGTGTGATATTGAGAATTTTTTAGGCATGTTGTGTTGATACATTGTTGATGTGTGATGCTGAGAATGCTATATGCATTAGACATATTGATTAACTAAGGACTAAAGGAGATGATGTTTTCGAAAGTTGAATATCTCATTGTGAGGATATTGGTGTGGTGCTCCAAGAGCCAAATTTGTTGAAAACCTTTCTTGAATAGTTGACTCTTGAAGTGGATATTTGAGTCTCCTCTAGGACCTTAGTTGATGCGACATGTGGCCTAGGTCGAGACATATTGAATACAAGTAACCAATATTAACCCGTATGTGGGAAAGGTTGAGACATACATATGTATAAACTATAAAGTGACCAATCGAGTAAGGTACAAGGTCAGGGGCTATGTCTCTAATCGACTACTAGAAGAACATAGTATTTGGAGGATAATCGATGTGATAATCACATCGAAGGCTTAGTGTTGTAAGCTAATTTCGTGGTAGACTCATACCCAAACTATTCTACCTTGACAAAAATATTAGACTTCCTAGTTTAAGTGACAACATTTGAGAAACCATGTTGTGAGGGATTGGTATCTTGATTTGGCTATTGACCTAGCAAGTGTAAAAATGTCATGTTGGTTGATTAAAGCCAAGCTACTTGGACTGCTCACCTTGTGTCAAGTGGGTCACCAATTTATTTGGGCTCATGTTGATTAAAAAAAAAAGAAGCCCAATATACTAATTGTATTAGCATCAGGTGTAGTGACTCTTGGGATGTGAGATCAACCTTTCAGAAGAAGGAGAAATCAAGAGTCCTACGTTTGCGTGCATTGTGCCTCTTTGTGAAACAGAGAGAAGAAGAAAAATTATGTGAGAAAGAATGGAGCAACCAACTTTGGAGAAGAAGTGTTTGGTACCAATTTTTGTATATTTTGGTTCTCTCTATTGTTTGGTTAGATATACCAATTTGAAAGTTTTCTTGTATTGTTATCCACCATATTGGTGAGGAGCTATTTCTAGTGATTCCTAGTGATTCCAAGAGGACTTGTGCTGTATCTATTGATTATTATTAGTGGAATTTTTATTGGACTAGGTATCGTGGGTTTTTACCTCATATTGAGGGTTTTCTCATGTTAAAAATTTGGTGTCTGTTGATTTCTATTTTTCTGTTTTGTGCATCTACTGAAATTATCTTGTTGCTTCCAAAGCCTATTATTATTTATATCGGAAAAAAGGAGATTCAGTTTTGCTTCCACTTAATTGTTATTATTCTAGTTATCTTTCCCAACAGCTTGTTGTAGGAATTTTTCTTAGGTGAACGCATGACAACACATTAATTGAGGTGTATGCATATGATTTGTTGTGATTTGATGTTTTTCATATGTTTTAGTGACTACCTTATTGAATGACATGATTCTAGTGTAAGTTTGATATGCTTAAGTTGTTTGTATTTCAATTTTTTGTTGATGTCATGATTGAGTTGTTGTGGTGTTGCAGTCCATGATATGATATGGCATATGATTTACATGTTGATATTTATAGTATAGTTACATATCTTCTATACTTGATATGTGTTTATTCTTTTGAAATCATCTAACTTACTCTTATATGTTTCCTTGTGGTTAAACTATGATGATCATATTTACATGGAAGTAGGACAAGGTTAACTAGAGGCAAGTTGTAATTTTTTTGTAAGGTCATGCTAGTGGATGACTTACTATTGATTTTTGTTGGGTTATTTTGATTTAACCATCATGTATAAATATTGTTTAACTGATAACTTAGAATTACACCTTATAATTTTTAAATTATTGTATAGTCATGTGTATATATAATTGTTTATTATAGGTGTGTACGTGTATGTGTGTGTCTCTGTCTATATATATATATATATATACATGGGATTTGGGTAAGTGCAGCGTATTTGTTGGTGCATTGATTTCCACATGGAGACGCCCATTGTTGCGGCATCATCTTCCTCTGCTCTCCAACTCACAAAAGGGTCAACGGTCAACACTTCCTTATCCCTGTTCCATTTCGGATCATATATATATATATATGTTGTTGTTATATATCTAGGAATTGTTAGTGTACTAATTTTAGGTAATTATATTTTGGTTTTACTATTAGCCATCGATTCTGATAAATATAAAGATTATAACGTGTCATTACAATAAATCTTTCTCCTTAATTATGTATTTTCCATCGTAAAATATAGTTTCTCTTACATTAGTGACATAGGTAATAACTTTTTTCTTTTATTATTTATTCCGATTATCATGTTTTCAAGTACAATTCAAATCAAGACACTCCAAAATAACCTTGAACTAATAAATATGAGTAAAAGAATATCATATAATGGAGGCTGGAGGGAAGCAGCACATTCCAGGCTGGGCTTTGTGAATTGTGATGATAGCGACCCTTTGTTATATGTATGGCGGTAGTAGCTAGCGGACTCCATTTTCATGGCTACCAACCATTCTTTCTAAAGGTGTCACCATATTCCAAGATGGGTCGACCAGGCCAAAAATCATACAATATTTTCCATCTTAACGCAAATTTTCCTAAAGGCGAGATGGACCGAAACAAATAAAGTAGCGAAACATTTCATTTGAACAAAATACTAGTTTGACAACACAATTTTCTTAATTATTAATATTTCTATTTAGGACTTAACAACTTATATGTTTTTTTTAATATTTAGATTCTAAATATTATTCACTTTTTAAAACAGGAAAAAGCTGGTCTTAAAACGCTGATTAAGGAATTAAAAGTATTTTTTTTTATATTGAAAAGTGTTTCAACACATTCTCTCAAATAACTTTTATATAGTTTTCAATAATTTTTTTCATATTGATTCCTTAACTAGTATGCCAAAGACACTAGCTTGCTAGAAAGACTCTTGACAATAATCCTTTTCAAGATATGCTTGAAGGCTAAATTAGACGCATTTCTTAAAAAATTAAAGACAATTAATTTAACTAAAATTATTTTACTTATAATAATTGTTGAATTAAAATATAAATAGATATATGAAATTTTAATTTTTGTAAATCTTAAAATTAATTAGGTATTAATTCAATTACTAAAAGTCTATTTAATTGATAATTTATAAATATCACATTACACTTAATATTAATTGAAGAAATTTAAGCACTAATTAATAGAATTTAAAAAAAAATTAAAAGTGCATTTAAATAACTAGCTAATTAAAGAAAAAATATATTAATTTTATTATATATAATTTCTTTAAAAACATATTTTACAGATTGACATACGTTTAGTAGAGTTATACGAGCTTTCAGAAAAAAGTAGAGGTATACGTAAAACAGTACCTATGTACGTAAGTTGTAATATGAAGTAATTACCATTCATATCACTTATATATGTTTGAATTGGTCGTTATAAACTTCCGAAAATTATCCTTGGTAAAAACGAAAAAAGAAATTGTATAAAATTTATAAGCAGTAAATGTCCAAGATAAATCCCCGTAATTGGGGTTTTATAAAATTGAATTAATAATAGTAAACCGATATTACAATTTGTATCTAAAAGTTTGAGTATTACTTCAGTGTTGCTCTGACCTTGACCCAGATGAGCGTATGGTTAGAGCAGAAATTAAAAAATAAAAAAAATAAAAGTGACGTTGACCCAACAAAGCCTATGGGTAGAGCAGAAATTATGGCGTGTATATTTGAAATAAAAGTCTCCCATAGCCGTGTCCAACTTTGTGGCAGTGTTCAATTAAGAGTGGTAGTTATACTTTATGGTACATTTCATTATCTTGACTATTCAACAATAATCATGGTTCAATATTAGAGTAGGGATCACGTACGTAGTTCTAGTTGGAGTTGTAGCTCTATATAAAGCGACTCAAATCAGATTCAGAAGCATCACAAAACACAAAACAGAGTCAAAATTCGTTTTCAGTTTCCAATTATGGCTTCAATCAATGGCCGTAGTGCAAACGAAATGTTTCAAGGTCAAGCTCTCTTGTACAGACACTTGTATGCCTTCATAGACTCAATGTGTCTTAAATGGATCGTTGAGCTTCGCATACCAGACATAATCCACAATCATGCCAAACCCATTACTCTTCCAGAGTTGGTGTCAATTCTACAAATTCCACCAACTAAAGTTGGTCAAGTGCAGAGCCTCATGCGTTACCTTTCACACAATGGATTCTTTGAAAGAGTAAGAATCCATGAAAACTTTGAAGAAAAGGAGGCCTATGCTCTCACTGCTGCTTCAGAGCTACTTGTCAAAAGCAGCGAACTTAGTTTGGCTCCAATGGTTGAGTGTGTTCTTGACCCAACTCTCTCTGATTCATACCATCACTTGAAGAAGTGGGTTCATCAGGAAGATGTCACACTCTTTAAAATATCATTAGGGTCTCATTTCTGGGATTTTCTTACCAAAAATCCTGCATACAATGAGTCATTCAACGATGCAATGGCTAGTGATTCTCAAATCAGCAACTTGGCATTGAGAGATTGCAAGTTGGTCTTTGAGGGATTGGAGTCCATTGTGGATGTTGGTGGTGGAACTGGAACCACAGCCACTATCATCTCTCAGGCATTTCCTAACTTGAAATGCATTGTCTTTGACCGTCCTCAAGTTGTCCACAACTTGTCAGGGACCAACAATTTGGCATTTGTTGGTGGGGACATGTTCAGCTCTATTCCTAAGGCTGATGCAGTCCTGCTTAAGGTATGCATATCTAAACAATGATCAAATCTACTTGTTATTTTCTGCAAAAAACTTTTACCATTTCAGGTGAAGTTGCGGACACCATTTTTAATACTCTATCTTTTCTTTTATTCCTGCAGTGGATTCTACATAATTGGTCCGATAAAGATTGCGTAAAGATATTAAAGAATTGTAAAGAAGCTATTTCAACTAATGGCAAAAAAGGAAAAGTGATTATCATAGATGTTGTGATAAACGAAAATCAAGATCAGCACGAAGTTACTGAACTAAAGCTCCTTATGGATGTAAACATGGCTTGTGTTAATGGAAAAGAGAGAAGTGAAGAAGAATGGATGAAACTCTTCAAGGAAGCAGGGTTCCAAGGCTACAAAATATCTCCCTTGACCGGTTATTTATCTCTTATTGAGATCTATCCCTAGATTCATTTAATAATTCATCTTATGAACTAAATAAAATTGTCTTGTGTTTTGACTGTATAGTTTAGAATCAGATGCTATATGAAGTGAATAAAAAGCCAGATATCATCAGGATAAACTAGCAGTGCAAGGTCATTGGTATAACAAAATCTTACGTGCTTCATGTGACATTGGTTCTGAGATAAAGACATGTATTATTTATTTCTTTTTCCATTTCAAAACATTCATGTTTCATTTGTTTTCTTCTAGTGGAGATAATGTCATTTCTTTCTTTCCATTATACAAAATATTGAAGTGTAAACTTATTTCAGGTTGTTGTTGCCTTCCATTTATAATATTTTATTTTAAAAGTTATATATGATTCCCTTATTATCAAATAATTTTATTAATCTTTTTTATCATATCTATTTTTATATTATATAAAATTGATTTTAAAATTGAAAGTTATTTATTAATATTTGTCATCAGATCTAAATTACTAATTGTGACAAAAAGTTCGGACAAAACAGATTTGACTTAGACCTCTTGTTGTAAAAAGTGGAAGCGAGTTCGGATTTAAAAGATACTTTGTTTTAAAGATGAAGGTTAGATTGATCCGACTCTTATAGGTTATATGTACATCAATCACACCATATTCTCTAAAGAAATTATAACCCATCTTCTCTCCCACACCATATAGCCTTTGTCCATTAGGTTCTAAAAGAAAATTCATTTATGTTAACTGCCTCCTATAGGAATGTGTTTGGATGGAGAATTTAAATAGAGTAATTTATTTGTTTGAAGAATTTTAAATTCTTTGAGATGAAATACTTTGTTTAGATGGATAATTTACAAGGAATTTAAAATTCAATCATGTGTGAAATTTCTTGAAATAGTAAAATTTAAAATTCTTCAAAAAAAGTAAGAATTTAAAATTTCTCATATTTTTTCTTCTTATTTTACTTATATATTTTATCTTATCTCTTATCTCTTCATGTTTTTAATTATTGAATATTCAAAAATATTTTTAAAATTATTAAATGTTATCTAATATTAATTTTCAAAATTATTAAATATTTAAAAATTAGCTAATATTTATTTTATAAATTTTTATTTAAAAATATAAATATATTTTTAAAATCAATTTTATTATAATAGAAACAAATTATCATATCCAAACTAATAATTTAAAATTTAAGAAATTTAATTTGATTTATCAAAATAAAATATTTTAAGAATGATAGAAGTTGAAATCAAAGTAATTCAAATACTATGAATTTTAAATTTCTTGAATTTGTAAAATTCCTCGTCCAAACACATCACAGAGATTTTTCTAGTGGATGCTGATATTTAGATAATATCGTAGATAAATATAAAACATATTTTCCGTACTATAGAGGGTCTGGCTCACACACAAATCTTCGGAGCAAGAAACGTGCAATTTGCCATCAGTTCCAGATGAACAAGTTTGGGTGAGACTTGAGAGAGAAGATGAGATGGGTACATATTTTATTTTATCAGAAAGGATAAATAATATGGTGTGGTAGCTGCACACGTAATCTATGAGAGTTAGATTCATCTAACGATTAAAATCTTTGTTCACGGTGAACCATCTATCAAGCTGGTTTATTTAGTCTTTAACTCTTTATCTGTTTTTAATTCTTAAACCCAACTACATAGTGTTGGATCATTTTATCGTGGACATCAGTGTTATTATTTTTGAAAATAAAAAATTTATTAGATGTCAAGAATATAAAAGTATTTGTTTTATGATCATTATATTAATGTTAACAATATATTGATGTGGGGGATTTGTATATAATTTTTCTTAAGGAAGTCCATATTAATTTAACATAAGAGAACCATATTTCTAATTATTTTGCAGTATAGTTTTCTTAGTTAAGACTTCATATAATAAAATATAGTGAAATAATAATAAGATTAAAAATCTCATAGAAGTTAATAAAATATATACATAAGTGAAAAAATAATCATCCGTCATTATAAGAAATATTATATATAGTGACATATAAAAAGTGTCACTATAAGTACAATATATGTATGTATATATCTATTTGACATATAGTTACACACAATTTTAGTGTTGATTTTGAATGAGATTTAACAACATATTTTGTGTGTCATTATAATCTATATCCACTCTTTTTAATAATATACCAACATATATTGTAGTTATTGTGTGAGTAAAAATAATTTTTAGTAACATATATAGTATCATTATAAGGTGTGTGTCACTATATGACAATTTTGTTGTAGTAAATTTATAAGTTAATTTTATAAGATTGATCTACACTTTATTTAATCTAATTTCTAAACATGATATTAGAGTGTATTATATTGATTATTTTTGTTATTGAACTTTGCATAATTTATTATCATGTCACTGTCAAATTATCTAAAGTTATCTAATTTTGCAAACGTTAAACTCAAAATATCTAATTGTTAACATTTAGTGGTGTGTTGGAAATTAAGTTAAACCCATAACTCAAATTTTTTAAGAAATATTTTCTCTCCTCTATTACAAAAGTTGAATAGATCAAATGCCTTCTATTTATACATGTATTTTTAATTTCATTATCTATATATTGAAATTTACAAGTATGATATATATATATATATATATATAACATGAAATGTTTAGATTGAAATAATATTGGTGTAATTTTTACTAAATATTACACTGCTTAATAATTTTATATTAAATGTGAATTTTGTAAATTTAATCGTTAGATTGAAAGTTTATATCACTTTATATGTTTATATCAAATTTTGTTAAAATTGAACAACTTGAAGATAATCAGAGTGTTCATATTTTTATTGTATTTTGAAATAACGTGTATATTACATCAATTTTTTATAAAAATAAAATATCAAATCATTTTGAATTAATATAAAATTTTATATATAATCTAAGAATCTAACGCTTAAATTTATAAAATTTATATTTAATATAAAATTATTAAGCACTTCAATGTTTATTTGGAATGTAATATTGTGTTTTTACGTATTCCTTTATATGATAAGTATAGGATTTAGCAATTGTTATCGGAAATTGTGTAATCGGTATTATTGTGACTATTTTGTAATTTTACGGTATCCAGGTTTTATTTATTTATTTTTATATTCTTTTTGGTAATATTATAAATTATTTTTTCATGTTTATTTTTATTATTTTTTTATTAGCAAAATAAATTAATGGGAGTACAAGTGGTAACCTAATCCATTACAAAATACAAAGTCATCTAAACAAAATTTAACGTAATCCATACAATAGGTAATCACCAAATTGTAATGTTTACCACCATTACAAAACTAAAACTAAGACCATAAAATGTTATTTAATAATCAAACAAGTTCAGTAATCAGAAAACCAGATACAAAATTAATACCATGATGTGTACAAAATCAGAAAAAATCATTATTCCAGAAGTTAAGTCAAACACCAGGAGAAGAAAACCACACTGAGAATGGGCAAAAAATGACTTATATTTGGTCTTAATCCAGTTTCAGCTACGTAGTTTGATTAATTTCACTAAATCCGTAATTTCCACCACCTTATCTTTAAAAATGACATCATTTCTAGCAAGCCACAAAGATCAAATTGTGGCTAACCAAACCACAAACCACCTCATCTTATCTCTACCACTACATCTAGAAAATCCAATAAAATGAGCAAAATTTTTATGACAGGAGTTGTGTAAAACTGTTAGAAATTTTTTTTCATGTTTATTGAACCCTCTGAATCTGATTCATATTGCTCATTTGTTTTAATCATTACCGAGAGCCTTTACTTTTGGAATTTTTTCAGTTTTAATTAATTAATTTTTATTTTTTTAGTTTTAATTATCGTTATTATATGTCTGCGTGAGAAGCATGGTCCATGCCACAAAATTCTAATTCAAATTGGTTTCGGGATTAAAACCCTTGGTTTTGTGGGTGTGATATTACACTTATGTACAATTATCTCTCCTATTATTATTATTTCTGAATATTCTCTTCTGTTCTTATTATAATTTTTTAAACGGACAAATAAAATTAATTGATTTTATTAGATTTATAAAATAAAATTATAATTTGTTAATTTTTTTTACTTATTATTAAATTTTCATGAGAAGTACATATATTACTTCATATCAAAGTTTATACATCAAAATCAACAAAAATGTTAAATGCCAATTTGAGAGAATTTAAGAAATGAGAAACAAAAACACAAATTCAAAATATTTAATAGGAATAAATAAAGAAAAATAATTTGATATTTTTTTAGAAACTATGAGGTCTCATTTGGTGGGCAAATATGATTTGATAGGATAATTATCCTATTACAATTTGTCGTGTGGGAGAAGTGGGTTAGGAACTAACAAGATAAGATAAATTCTTCCCCTTCTTTTTTATATAATATTATACTTATTATAATATATTATATTATATAATAATATATAATTTTATACTATATATTATATTATAATAAAAATATATATATAAATATAACACATATAATATTAAATATTAATTTATGTATCGTTCAACTCGGATATACCGAGTTGAGTTACACCATCTAGCTTTAATACATTGAGTTAATCTCGAACAAACACTCATGGTGAACAGAAGGTAAGCTTAGAGTCAAACAACCACATGACAACACTAGCACCATACTCCTAAAAATCTCGAAACACATTAAAGAGGAATAGGAATGAAGGAATAATATTTTCGCATGATAAGTCTTGCGCATAATATTAGGGACACTCCATTACTATCCTATAGGATTATTCTATATAATCACGCAATCAACATGCATATATGGGAGTCATGTATTATTCTACCCTAATCTCTTTCTTAACCTAAACTCCCATTTAATTTGAGTGTCAAAGTATCTTTGCAGATTCCACCCCGTCACGGACATTGGAGCAAGAAGAACATCATTTCGTTATTTGAGCACTTGTAGGATTCTGGTAAGAACAATTAGTGTCAATTGTGGGAATGAAGTGAAACTATCCTCTGATCACACATGGTTTCCACCCAAAACCAAATGATGAACAACAACACAATAAGGATTTTCATAGAAAATGATGACACAATTCCCGAATGATAGCCTCTTGTCTCCACAACGACCAAAACCCCACCAATAGTGTTGCCATTGCCACACCACCATCTAATGTTGAGTTGTTACAATGAATGGAAGCCATGCAAGAGTATAATGAAGAAGCCTTGGATGCCTTTTGCCAGCAACATGAAGTTGATCAAGCACACTACGAAGCTGGCCTCACATGTTGTGAGTAAGAATTCGAAACCCTATGTCGAGAACGTAATGACACTCATTCCAGTACCACCATCTCCACGACTAAGGAGTACATTCCCCCTCTAGGTCATCCTAGGACACACACAACGTGTGGGAATCCTAGCTTGATGATGAAAGTCATTCCCCCCTCGAGTTTTGCTAGGACATCTTGCTGGTGAACACCATAGTCACCTCTTTATCAATGCCATAGTCAATGCCCCACTCCTAAGGATTGAAACTCCTCATTATGAAGATGTATTACGGTTTAACTTTCCTAGACGACCACTTAGCTGCGTATGAGATGAGGATGCATTTTTATTCTCAAAAGGATGCGCCATTTGCAAAATCTTTCCACAACCCTTGAGGGTCCTATACTCTTATGGTACACACTTTATTAGTGTTCAACATACCTAGTACAACTGTTCAAGGCCCAATTTGTCACTAGCCGACCCCATAAGACTTTTACATTATATTACTCAATATGACACAAGAAGACAATGAACCACTTTGAGAATTCATGGAGAAGTTCTCTTTCATCTCCAACAAAATATAGGACCTTTACCATCAATTCACCTTAACTGCCATGCTAAATGCATTAAAAGAGAGACCCTTCTCAAACAACGTTTATCGACATACATCTAAGGACATGAATGATCTAAGAATTGAGGACGTCAATTTCATCCAAATGGAAGAACATGCGACAAGTCAGTGCAAAATTCAATCTTCAACCATCATCAAACAAAACTCCCTCTACGTCCTCACAATGATAGTAGATTCAAAAGTGGAAGGCCTGCCAAACCATCAAGGTACACCCTTTAGCAAATCCATATGCAAATGTGTTTGAGGAAGCTTTCAACACCCACATACTAACTCTCATTGAGCTCGACCAACCTCATGAAGACATTAATCGTAGTAAGCATTGTAGATATCACGAGGTTGTTGGTCACACAACCAAGGAGTGTTGGACCATCCATGATAAAATCTAAGAACTAATTTTGCTTGATCATGTCAATAGTTCATCTAGAGGGACAACTATCATGAGAATCACCCTAAAATTCGAGCATGAGGCCTAGGAGGACAACTGTCATCGATGGAACAGGTGCCACCATAGTCCCTAAAAGAGAACACTAATAACCAAGGCAATAATGACTACAAACTCTGAGGAATCATACACACTATCGCTGGTGGATTTGCAAGTGGTGGCCCCATCGACTCTTCATGTAAGAGACACCTAAAAGCCATTAACTGTGTTACTATTTCACACAATAAGTTTCCCAGATTGCTACCCCTAATTAATTTTAATGATAATAATTTCTTAGGCATGGACTCGAATCAGGACGACCCCATGGTTATTTCGATACAAATCACCAATTGGGAAGTCTATAAGACCCTTATAGATCAAGGTAGCTCAACTAACATCATGTACTAGAATACCTTCCTCTAGATGCAACTACCCCATGATGGCATCAAGTCATATAATGAGCCTCTATTTGGATTTGTAGGTAAACAAGTCAACACAAAGGGCTACATAGAACTCTTATCCAAATTCGGCAGTGGCAAATGTACCAAATCATTAAATGTGAAACTTTTGTTGGTAGGCGCAACAACTTCTCCTTATATGCCTCAGGTGTCATACTTTCCACACCTCATCTTGTAATGAAGTTCCCCATCATTAGTGGAAAAATAACAACAATTCGAGCTTACCAACACACGACGCAAAAATGTTATGCTGAAAGTTTGAAGATCACTTTGGGATGCATGCCTAACTTGGCAACCATTAGTCTTAGAGTACCGAAAAATATCTAACTGACATTAACACATGTCAACAAGTTATGTACTTTTTTCCTATCTTAGTCCTTTCTTTTTTTCCTTAGGTAAACTACTTTTTGCTAGGAAGGTTTTTTAATGAAGCACCCTTGAGCATGTACAACTTTTCCATATCAATAATACTTCTTCATTTAAATTATCTTATGAACACATGTTTCCAAACAAACACATCAAATTGCCAAATTATATTACAAATTTTGAACACGTGTGCCCTCACGATTCAAAGCCAAGCTTTTGAGTTCCTTCACTCTAATCACGTGCACTCTTGCGATTCAAAGTTGAGCTTCGTGAGTACACAAAGTTAATTACTAAACTAAAGCTTGTTATGGATTTAGTGATGATGACATGTTATAATGGAAAAGAGAGACAACCATTAAGTGCCCATGAAACTAGTCTTTCTTTAATAATCAATCTAATCAGTTTATTTTTTTTTTTCAGAACCCCTTCTATTGGTTTTACACATTTATGTTTTATGATGGTATGAGCGATCACACTTCCTATTAGGATCTTAAGCAAATTTCAAATAAGTGTTTAGAATTTATCATATTAATTTTTGGGGATATAAGTAACCCAAAAATTATCTTCAGGATGATTGCCTGACATCATATAGATGGGTTTTATAGTTGTCTTTAGGTCTTCTACCTATTGCCTTAAGTTGTTATGGAATTATGGCTATTTATGATTTCTTTATATAAACTTCTCTTGAAAAGCTTATAAGAGAAAAAATATGAAATCAAAATGAAAACATCTTTAATAAGATAAAATTACTTTATACATAAGTTGTTTTGTAGAAATTCTCTTATATTAGCTTCTCCAAAACTTTTTTTAACTTGTATATAGGTTAATTTTTTTTTTCTTCCTATTTCTTCTCTAATAAGTGTGTCCAGAGAAGTTTGTCTAAACAAACTCTTTCTCTTTCTGATGCTAGAAGCTTACATTTGATATTTCATAAACATCATGTAAATTTCTTCCACTTTAAACTATGTATAAATTGGACTCCCCTAATATATGGATGACCGATGCACTTGACAATCTTGCATGTAAAGCTTTAGTTGGATACTTCTAAGATTAACAAAAAGGGAATTATTTAGATGTTAAAAATGTGTATAACACTTTATCCTCTATCTAATATAACTATAACTAGTTACACATTTTGTCATTTGTAATCTTTGGTTCCAATTATGCAGGCAGGAAAAGGTAGAACTGGATTAATGGTATGTGCCTACCTAACTTATTGCGGCATGTCAGCAGAAGAGGCTCTTCAATTGTATGCAGATAGACGAACAACCAATAATGAAGGAGTAAGTTATATTAGGTATAATTCCAACAATTTGAAATATAAATCTATCTTCATTAACACCATTATCATTTTCTAAAACAATGACAATCAAATGAATGCTAAACTAATAAGAAATGTACTCTTCTTTTACCTCCAAAGAAATTAACTAAAGAATTTATGTGGGATCAGGTATCAATACCAAGCCAACGTCGTTATGTGACATACTGGGAAAGTCTACTTTCTAATTCTGTCCCTAGGGGAACTGGAAATGGACCACGAGATGTGAACTTGCCTCAACCATGTAGCAGAGAATTGCGGCGAATCCGGCTATATGATACAGTCAACATAGACTCAATATTCTTTGTTATCTCAGAGCTACACGAGGTTAGTTCATCACAATTTATGATATAACAGTGGTTGGAATGCTGAATTATCTTTCTGGAATGGTTTATGGAGGCCACATTATATTTTTTTTTTCTGTTAGCATGATAATTTGCACTAGCTGAGAGAATAGTATAACAAAATTTGGATAATTTATATGTTAATGTTAGGAATCTTATAAGTTTGTACTACTCGTACAACACTAGTACTTGAGCTAATTATTACTATGAACGCTTGAGAGCATAATTAAGCAATGAATTAGATATGAGACTTTGTTTTTATACTTATCAAGATGGGTTTCTATTTATTGACAGATTCCTAATGAGGTGTATCGTCCACCAGTGGAAGCTTACCGTGGCTACTGTAGACAGGTTAAGAAAGGATATCAGAGAAACAACAGCCCTCGCTATTATATTTCAATTCTTGAAGGTGATAACGATGGAATGCAATCAGAAACGGAAGAACCTCGCATTGTCGTTCAGATGGACACAGAGTCTCCTGCAATATACCAAAAATCATGTTTGGACCATTATTTTGATAAACCTATACAAGTAAGTAATCAATCACCATTAAGTGCCCATGAAACTAGTCTTTCTTTAATAATCAATCTAATCAGTTTATTTTTTTTTTTCAGAACCCCTTCTATTGGTTTTACACATTTATGTTTTTTGATTTTGTAAAACTGCAAAAGAAGTATTGCTAATGGGAAAACAAAAAAAGATTATAAGGGACCAAATTAGGTTTTTATAGAAGAAATTTCATTATCTCCATTTTTACTAAAGGATGACATATTTAGTCGAATCTTCGATTCATATTAGTTATAACTTGTTTAATTTGATTTTCAAATTTATCTTTGTTGATAGGCAATACATTAAATATATTATAAACATATTTTTTTTCAAGTTTATGATATTTCCTGACCTTATAAAATAACATGTCTTCTCTTAATTTAAACTTTGAAGTACTAAAAGAAATAAAAAGAATTATTTCTACATACACTACAAAAATTACATCTATTAAATTTAAGTTTAAGAGTGGAAAATTTAAAAAATTGAGTTTAACATGCATATATATACCTTCCGTGTAATTTTTTTAATATTTTATATTATCTACTAATAAAAAAAATATTTTTAGTATAACTTTGATGATACCTATTATGAAACTCAACAAACTTTCAACGGTTTTAATGAAGAAAGAAAAACAGTTTAAGAAATTAGTTGATTGTCTTACGTATCTGGTCTAGTTTGGCGGACAATGTGTCTTTAAAAATTGTTTTGTCCACATGTTAGCAACTCTTGGAAGTCTAATAGTGAATAGAGTATGCATTTTGGTTGGACACTAATTAATTATGGCTTCCAGTTAATAATATAAAGAAAAGTTGGCATATTTTGGTTTGTACCATGTACGCATCCGTCGGTTAATATTTGAATAATTAAGTTTAGCGTTATATGACCCAATACTTTGATTAACTCATGCACAATTGTTTAAGTCTGCGCAGGCAGCCCACATGATTACGGATTGCAGCCCCCATGACCACGGCTTTAAACTTTAAACTAAACTATTTGCCTTTCCAGCTCCTTGGAATTCGATATTATTGAAGATCAAAAGAGCTATATATATAAAATAAATGTGTCGGTAGTTGATTCTAACGCAACATAAAGTCTTGTATTCTATTTTGCAGATGCCTTCAAGTTTCAGTTAGCCACATTCAATTTTGTTGGCTACATTAAAAGATTATAGAATGGTAGTACATGTTGTTTAGCTTAGTCAATAGTCATGTCATACATAGAGTTATGTCACTGATACCTTTTGCCACTCCCCATGACGGTGCTCATGCATTATATAAACCCAATCAAATCAAACATCACAAACACACAAAATTAGAATTCGTTTTCAGTTTCCAATTATGGCTTCAATCAATGAGCGTAGTGCAAGTGAAATGTTTCAAGGTCAAGCTCTCTTGTACAGACACTTGTATGCCTTCATAGACTCAATGTGTCTTAAATGGATCGTTGAGCTTCGCATACCAGACATAATCCACAATCATGCCAAACCCATTACTCTTCCAGAGTTGGTGTCGATTCTACAAATTCCACCAACTAAAGTTGGTCAAGTGCAGAGCCTCATGCGTTACCTTTCACACAATGGATTCTTTGAAAGAGTAAGAATCCATGAAAACTTTGAAGAAAAGGAGGCCTATGCTCTCACTGCTGCTTCAGAGCTACTTGTCAAAAGCAGTGACCTTAGTTTGGCTCCAATGGTTGAGTGTGTTCTTGACCCAACTCTCTCTGAGATGCAATGGCTAGTGATTCTCAAATCAGCAACTTGGCATTGAGAGATTGCAAGTTGGTCTTTGAGGGATTGGAGTCCATTGTGGATGTTGGTGGTGGAACTGGAACCACAGCCACTATCATCTCTCAGGCATTTCCTAACTTGAAATGCATTGTCTTTGACCGTCCTCAAGTTGTCCACAACTTGTCAGGGACCAACAATTTGGCATTTGTTGGTGGGGACATGTTCAGCTCTATTCCTAAGGCTGATGCAGTCCTGCTTAAGGTATGCATATCTAAACAATGATCAAATCTACTTGTTATTTTCTGCAAAAAACTTTTACCATTTCAGGTGAAGTTGCGGACACCATTTTTAATACTCTATCTTTTCTTTTATTCCTGCAGTGGATTCTTCATAATTGGTCCGATAAAGATTGCGTAAAGATATTAAAGAATTGTAAAGAAGCTATTTCAACTAATGGCAAAAAAGGAAAAGTGATTATCATAGATGTTGTGATAAACGAAAATCAAGATCAGCACGAAGTTACTGAACTAAAGCTCCTTATGGATGTAAACATGGCTTGTGTTAATGGAAAAGAGAGAAGTGAAGAAGAATGGATGAAACTCTTCAAGGAAGCAGGGTTCCAAGGCCACAAAATATCTCTCTTGACCGGCTATTTATCTCTTATTGAGATCTATCCTTAGATTCATTTAGTAATTCATCTTATGAACTCAATAAAATTGTCTTGTATTTTGACTGTAGTTTAAAATTAGAAGTTATACGAAGTGAATAAAAAGCCATGTATCATCAGGATGAAAAAAATCTTATGTGCTTCATGTGGCATTGGTGCAAAGATAAAGACATGTATCATTTATTTCTTTTTCCCTAATAGTCAAAAATTTATGTTTTATTTGTTTTCTTCTGGTGGAGATAATGTCATTTCTTTCTTTCTATTAGACAAAATATTGAAGTGTAAACTTATTTCAGTTTGTAATTGAATCAAAACATTAACATTAACATACCGATATGAGGATGCATTTTATGTGAGCTCTTAATATTTTTGTGTTGTGTTACTATCAATTTTGAGGGATTGTTGGAGTATGTATAACTTATAAGCATTGTTATACCAATATGTGACAGTGATGTTGTTGCAAACAATTGATTTTTATTATTACGCATATTTTTCTAGCTTGATATATAATGGCTAACCGCTAACCTTTATAATGTAATTTGTCGAATCATTTTTCATGAATAATTGGGATGGCTTTAGTGCTAGATATATAGTATATAGTATATGAAATTTTGTTCCTCTTTCACTACATAGAAATGGAAGATTGTGTAAACGAGGTCACAGAAGATGTTGTGGTACATGGTTTGACAAAAGTGGAGTGGTTAGTTAACTTTCCAATGTTATATTTGTGTTCTTTGAAGTTAGAATTAATGAATTCAAGGAATCTGTGTTGTAGACTACACTATGGTCTATGATATTAGACTAATGCATTGGTTATTCCGAGGTGTGCCAAGCAGGGTCAGTGTAAAAAAGTTATGTATCATTAGGTGATTTCTGGTATATCATTGGAGATTATTTTGTTTTGCAAGTTTAATTCGGGTATGCATTTGTTAATTGTTATGCGTGGGCTTTACATTGTGCAATCATGTTTTTGTGTCCTTATATCTTCGTACATCTTGGGAAACTAGAGTGTTGTGTTCAATCTTTATTTAAATGATTTTGTGATAGCTAATAGTGTATTAAATGTTATGGAATTGATAGATGATGATCATAAATTTACAGCAATTAGAAATGCAATGTTCTTCCCTCAAGTTGTGCATATTTTGGTTATCTTTGACACATCTTTTTGCCTTTGTCTGTTTACTTTTGCTTGATACTTGCATGTATAGCCGACACCTTGTAGTAAAGATTACACTACTAGAAAAATATTATTTTCTTGTGAATTTTTTTTAAAAAAATATTTGTAAATTTTTTTTACAAATTTTCTTGTAAAAATAATTTCACAAATTTTTTTTACGAATTTATTTTTTAAAAATAATTTTCATATATTTCTTACAAAATTTTTTATGAAAAATAATCTAAAAGAAATTTTTGCAATTTTTGCTACAATTTTAATGATCATAAAAAAAATTTCTATGGTAAAAATTTGCAAAAAATATTGTAAGAATTTTATTTTATTTCTTGCAGATTTTCTTGCAAAAATAAATTCGCAAGTAATGTTTACTAAAAGGTAAAAAAATTTCGCAGGTAACTTTTCTAACGGATTTTCCTGCCAATTTTAATTCGCAAAAAAATAAAAAAAAATATTGAAATTTATAAGTTTAATATTTTAAAAAAAACTTCAAGTCCCACATCGATTGAAAATAAAATAATTAAAAAGTATATAAGTTGGGGCAACACTTACCTTAAAAGTTGATTTGTATGGTTGAGGGTTAGACTTATAATCTACAATCTTAGAGTTTAAAGATTATGTTTCAGATGAATTAATTGTGAGCATTTGAAAGTTGAAGAATTATATTCCTGCAGAATTTTTTTGGAAACTTTCTTGTGAATTTTTTTATGTAGGAAACTTTCCTACGAATTTTTTTGCAATTGCGTAGGAAAATTTCTTGTGACATTTAAAATTCGCAAAAACATATTATCTACGAAGGTATTACTTGAAAATAAAATTTCGAAGAAAAATTCTTAGAAATAATGTTTATTGCGGATTTTAATACAAAATTCGCAGGAAAAGCCGTATGTAATAAGAGAAATTCTAGTAGTGTTAAATCTTATCTTAAAATCATTTTACATTACTATTTTACTTTTTGGTTTCCCTGTCACAACTTTATGTTTTTATTTTTTTTCCTTTCTTTGTTTAAACTTTAATTTTTTTCATTTCAACAATGTAGAGCTATCGAATATTTAATGCCTATTTATCTTCAAATGATAGTATTCTTTGAGGTCTTCATACTCTCGTCACAAATATATATTATGTAGTACTTTGTATCATTATATTGTGTTCATCTTGATTTCGGTTTACAGCCCTAATTATTCATAAACGATAACCATTGTTTTATGGCTTATGCTAGGAGTTTGAGAAATTAGTGTGTATATGCAAGACTATTATGAACGCAAAGATAGTGTGTATATTTTTGGTTTATTATTATCCCATAGCATTGTCACATTTATTATGATAACCATTGCAATGTTGCTTTGAACAGATGGAGAAATTTGAGAGAGAAATATTATTTATCAATTTATAATAAGAACACGTTTTTAAAAATAATTGCAAGTATATCTTTAAAATAATAAAAATAAGACAGTTTTAAATTATAATTAATGTAAAATAAAGTATATTTTTTATAATTTAAAACTGTTAGAAAATGAGTGATAAGTAAAAAAAAAACATTTTTAACAATTTAAAACGTGAATTAAGTTAC